TATATAATCTAATTTTATAAAATATTTTGTGCACCTGTGTTTTGACTTGTGACCCATCACTTGAAGTCCGATGTAGAATTTTGTACTTGTGGCAGCATATCACTTTCTTTTGTGGGTTTTTATTAAGCAGACTGTCTCATGTCTCTTGGACCTAAGCATTATCAAGAGTTTCATATTTTATTTTGACTACAACGGCATGTAGAACTTTACATTTGTGCTAATTTGTTAGCTGTTATCCATAAGTGTATTACTGAATATTTGAAATGTGGTCCATTTGTGCTGCATCAGATATGCTGGGGCAGTGGAGTAGGTTGCTGACAGATAGGAGAAAATACTCAGAGATAAGATCAACAGGAAAAGGTAAAGTTGAGTTTTACTAGCAGAAAAGGATAGTCCAGTGGTGGTGGGCTACACAAGAAAGTCACTAGAACATACCAAGAATGTCCAGGAGAAAAAAGCGGGACTAGTTAATTGCCAGAAGGTCCTGGGCAGCTGGTCAAACAGGAAATTGCTAGAGTCCTGTGGTGGGGTGCTAGAGAGGAAGTCACCAGAATATCCAGGGACAGAGGGCCAGACCGGAAAACAGCGAGAGAGCTCAAAGTACAGTATTCACTGTTGGTTAGCTAGACTGAAGCACTCTGCATTGCTATTCTGCACAGTTATTGCAGGGAGGGCATTTTATAGATTGAACTATACAGCAGTGACATCATTACCTCGCTATGCTCCATTGTATGACCAGCATTCCAAGGAACATCTGACTTAGCAGATGGGCAGGAAGGCAGTTTCTATAAGTATCTCTAGTTTGCCCAGTTTCCAGTCTCCCTCAGATAATGCTATATGGATATTCCAGTTCCTGGCTGCTTGCAAGAGTCTTGGAAACACAAAAGGGGTATTTCAGGGACATGATGCTAAATGCCTGTTATTTTTTAGGGATGATACAAAAAGACACCCCGGATTTGGGAAATGTAGTATGAAAAAAGAACATAAAATATCTCAGTAATTTTTATGTTGATTTCATATTGGAATGATAATATTTTGGCTATACTAAGAGTAAATAAAATTTGTTATTTAATTTCACCATTCCTTTTTGCTTTAACATAGTTACTGAAAAATTTATAATTGCACATAACTTACATCTGTGGTTCTCATTATTCTGTTGGCTAGCACTGACTCCAGATCTCTTCTGATAAGTAATGCCTTTTGCTATTGGTTCATCCATATATAAAGATATTTCTTTGTTAATACAGAAGTTAGAGCTTTAAATTTGCTGTTTTAGCTAAGGACAAGAATTTCCCATGTAACTATGACACTGGCATAAGTTATTATATAGATTTATCTTTGTGTTCACCCCCCTCCCTCCCTACACTTTGCCCATTGTTCCAGTCACACAGAGCAGTGTGTCAGAATTGGGAACCTCTTGGTAATGTCAGCATACTTGTATGCTCTCAACTGGATTGCTTCTGAAGTTTCAAAATTAACTATTTCAACAGTAAATTTCTTAATTATGTCATAGGTTCGCCTGTGAAAGGTATACAGCCTCTTAGCAGTAGCTAATTTTCCTTTAGTGTATCTCATTCTTATGTTGAAATACCCCATTTCTTATTCATGAAAAGTTCCAACACATGTTATTCCATTACAGGTGGAGTAACTAACACAGCACAGTATCAGAACAGATTAATGGTGTATGAATCTAACCAGGTAAGAATCACATATAAAAAGCTAATTACCTTCATTAAGATGAATTTTAAAAGATTTCCACAGGACTGAGTAACTGGAATGCCAAGTGTAAATACATATACATGCTTATGGAGAGAAAAGAAAACATCTGGGTAAACTGCCTTTTGTTTTCTATTTTGCTAGAAAATTTCCACTTCTCTAGTTTTATGCTATGCACAATGCTGCACCATTTCAGTTTTGCATAATGTAGAAAGGATTTTGATTGTTCTATACCTATATCCTGGAAGGGGTACTAGTCTAGGAGGGGAACATGCTTATAGTTTAACTTTCAAATCAAATATTATTTAACTTAATATAACCAAAATGTTCTATAATAATATGTGGGAGAAATTTGAAGTCAAGTATCTGAGAAGTTTTCCGTCTAACAGCTAGCAGCTAGTTTTCCATCTCATAGCTAGGCTCTGAATTAGAATCATTGTGATGCTGCCAGTCCTTTCTTCTATTTACTTCTCATGCATATTTAATGACTTTTTCCTCAAAAAAGGAAATATTTTTATTTCTTTCTACCAAAATATATAGGCTTTGCCAGATATCTGCTGAATTTTACCATTTCTATGATTTGGTTAGTTATTTTTTACTTATGACAATATCCCAATTAATTTGGAGGTTTAATATTTATTGGCTTGTGGGCTGGGGATTTAGCTCAGTGGTTCCAGCGCCTGCCTCGCAAGCGCAAGGTCCCGAGTTCGATCCCCGGTACCAAAAAAAAAAAAATTTATTGGCTGAAGGTACAGTATTGGGATATGAGATGACGGGTTGACTTTGGCAGTCCAAGTCAGGATTGGCCACTGAAGATAGGTCCAGAGTGTTCTCAGTGTACTTGGTATCTTTGTTTTAATAATTACTTGATTCTAAATATGAGGAAATCATTTCTTTTCACAAAATATGCTTTCTGATGTTATTAGAAGCTATAAATTTCATACACAATTATCCATTAGTGATTTACTTCCAGAGGGATCATGAATTCTTGAGTTTGGTGTATACATGGTTAAAGAGGAAGGAAGGTGTTAACATTGCACAAATGAGCGCATTTTCATGTTTGTACACACATGCTCTTTTTAAGAATTCTGCTGGCATATTGTTTACGGTGGGTACTGGCAAACATCACATCTGCTTGTATCTTGCTCAGAATCTCAATAACTCTATCACTCAGCCCTGGTGCTTATTTCTCTTCTAGGCCTTTGTGGAGAGTCGATAATGCCTGCCATCTGCCGCAGAGCACATAGCTACCTGCCAACAGGCAGACAGGGGTCACCTCTGCTTCCCCACCACTGATTAGTATTCACGTGCTAGCTTATTAGGAATGACCCCACCAGGCCTGTTTCTTTGCCTTTGCAGTGGTTGGTGGCTCACCTGGCAGGCACTGCAGTAAAGGAAGCTAAAGATATAATCCGGGGATGTAAGCAGGCTTTGCAAACCAGATGGCATCTATAGTCTGTGGCAGGGGACTAGACTGCTAATGTAAACACTGATTCCAAATGCTGTAATGGGTTGTCTCCTAGACAGCACCTAAGAAAAGCATCATCAGAATTTTAAAATTTACTCAAGTATAATGCATTAAAGATATTAGCAAAATATCTGAAAAAAAGGCTTGATAATTTAGAAGATATTTGATTGGAAGGATATTATTGACTCAAATAGGGAACAGAATGTTCAAACTGTACAACTTTTTTTCTGGAGTATATCTTTAAAAGAGAAACTAGAAGGGCCAGGGATTTAGCTCAGTGGTTTCACTGCCTGCTGCGCAAGTGCAAGGACCCGAGTTCGATCCCCGGTACCAAAAAAAAAAAAAAAAAAGAGAAACTAGAAATGAAATGATGTAGTATATATGCCTACAGTGTATATGCCAATGTTTATAAAACATTTTTGTTGTTTGTTTCTTTCCTCACAGCTTTGTGAACTGGTTAAATTCTATGTATTCAAAACATCCCAAGATTTTTCTGGTCGAAATCCAAATTTTTCTTGGCAAAAAAGAAACTGAATTCTTCCTGTATTTTTAATGTTTATGGAGAAAGAAAATGGTCAGGTTTATTTACCTGTCCATTTCTTGGTATACTTACCTACCAGTTACTTAGTTGAGATTTAAAGTCTTATTTGATTTTTATCTAATTTTACAATTTATATTATACTTGAAACAGCAAGCTTGGCATGCCCTTCTCATTATTGAGGGTGCCCTAGAACCAAATATTAAAGGTTTTGTTATTCCCTAAAATTCTCATACAAAACTTGATTTTATACCAATATAAATAAATAAGTGCCTACAAGTAAATTTTCCCAGTTTGGCAGATGTAACAGTGAATGTTAAATTGTGAGTTGTAAATAAGTGTATAGTGGAAGCTGATAAAAAAGAAAATGTGGGAGGTTTGTTACTGAATCAAATCTTAGCTCATCCACTGATCAAAGGTGAATTTGGAAAGTACAACAAAGCCACCCTCACTGGAGTTTTATCTAGGAGCCTCAGGTACCCAGTGATTATTACAGTATTTTAAAAAAGTGAACGTGTTGGACATTTGTTATGTGGTAGGCATTTTTCTGAATTCTTTAGGTGCATTAGCTCATTTAATCTTCACAACATTCAGATAGGTATTATCCTCATTTTACATACAAAGAAATAATCACAGAGAAGTTAAAGAAAATGGCCCAGAATCAGATAACTCAGGCATTCTGATTCTAGAGACTTGTTTTCTTAAACATTACATCACTATTCAGTGTATCAAGCCAGGCTCTTTCACTCTTAATCTCCATGTATAAATTCTCTGAATTGGGTAAGAAAACCATCTTGAAAAATTTTAATGTTACCCCTTGTAAAATTTTAATGTTTTCATTTTGAAATGCAAAATAGAATGTGGTTGATAAACATTAAGGTTCCCACTACTAATGAGCCACCTACTGTTTTCTGCCAAGCAGGTCTCCTATTAACAGAATGCACTTGAATTTCATTTTTCAGAATAAGTGGATAACCCGCAGCCCCATGCTGCAGAGAAGGGTCTACCATTCCATGGCTGCTGTCCAAAGGAAGCTTTATGTTCTTGGAGGCAATGACCTTGACTACAATAATGACCGGATCCTTGTGCGTCATATAGATTCTTATAACATTGACACTGACCAGTGGACACGTTGTAATTTCAATCTGTTGACTGGCAAGTATCTTTAATTAAATGAAAAAAGATCAAATTCAAGAAGTTGCCAAACTTGTTTTCTTACATACTTTTAATGCATCCCTAAATAAGTGCAAAATGGATAGAGCAACTAGCTCTTATTAAGCAGAAAGGTGTGATTATCTTACTACAAAACTGGACTTGTTCAGGTGGCTGGGGACCTAGTTACGCAGGGCCTGAATTACGTTTGTGCACATTCTTATGTGACTGGGGGAAGCATGTCAATAATCAGTCAATATTTACTTAAGAACTTTGATATATGTAGGAGGAACAAGGTACTGAAAGAGTTAATTATCTTTTACAGAAGCAATTTATTTTTTATTTCTGTTCAGTCCTTTTATTTCTTGACCTTATAAAAATGGCTTTCATTACTTATCACTATCAGTCTGTGTAGTATTCTAGAAATTAAACCTTAGAGTAGATCTGTTCAGAGGGGGTTGGCTGTGCCTCTGGCCACACATCCTCATGTAAGCATTTCCAGAGGGCAGTCCTAGGAGTGGCCCAACTTTGTCCCAGAGAGAAAAAAAAAAGCAGCAGCAAACAACATATTCCTGGTGTTTCTGTTTGGAATTGAAAACTTTTTCTCCCTTGTCATTTTGCATTATTAACTGAATCATCAGAGTCCTCCAGGACTGCTCAAATAATAGAAAAATCACAAAACGGGGTTAGATTACTTCCTGAGGACACTTTAATATGCAGAGTGGGTATTTAATCATTCACAGTTGCTGCTGGGGAAAGCAACATTGAGAGCATAACTGGATATGTATTAAGATGCTTGAGTTTTTCAAAATGATTTTTGAAGCCCACTGTATTTAGCTTAGTTGTAGTGGTAACTTAGACCCTCAATCCCTAGATCTGATTCTGCCTGCTATAGGATCCAGCCAATCCTGTGTAGGCTCATCCATAAAGAGACTCTTTCACTCTCTGATGGCCTCCAGGGAAGAATATATGGTAGAGTTGTTCTGTCTTTTTTGAAATGGGAGGAGAAACCTTTCATCATTTTGGCATGTCAGTACCTAGGGATTATCCAGGCTGGTCCCAGCTCGGGAACTTTAATATAATCTTAAAACTGTTGTGTATGTAAAGAAAGGGAAGGTAGCAACTTTATCATTTCTTTTCCTGCTATTTGTCTTCATTTGGGGCATGCTTAGGGGCATGGCTCCCTTTTATTGAGTTCTTTAGGTTGCAGCTGTTGCTTTGCTTTTACTTGGCTTAAAAAATGTGTAGGTAGGTTGTTTAGCATTTCTAAAACATACCTTATTTCTGCCACTATAAATTAATGATATACAATGTATTGTATAACTCTTTAGTTCCAGATAGCTTACTATTGCTGTATTACTAAGTTTGTTTGGTAATTAGTGTTTTGACCTAGTTATGATTCAACACATTCACTCTCTAGGAAATAGTGCCTTATTTTCCCAAGTACTGGAGGCAGTGATTAATTGCTCCAAAAATCTCATGCAGTATACAAATGTCCCACATGGAAAAACTATCCCTTAGTAGCAAAAGGGTTAATTAAAACATGTAAGAAATGCATTTTTGTCTTTTTATTCAACTCTCCTTACTTTAGGCCAGAATGAATCTGGAGTTGCTGTCCATAATGGGAGAATATATTTAGTTGGCGGATATTCAATTTGGACAAATGAGCCTCTGGCTTGTATCCAGGTGAGTGGTTGAAGTTCCTTTTGAAGTTTGCTCAAGTGGTTCAGTAAGGTTACATTTTGTAATGCAGCTCCTGAAGGATATACTTACATGTAGAAAGAGGCTTTTGGTCCTTTCCTTTTCATAACATTGCCTTATTTTCTGTATTGCAAATTGTTCATTTCCATAAGTGGTACCTGCAAAAGTGTTTTTCCTTCCTGGTAGAGGCTGTGAACAGTAATGGTTTCTGGCTGATCTGAAGAGGAAAGCTTCTGCCCCCAAGAAATAATGTTGGCATGTTGGCATGTGAGCAGCCAGGCTGGTTGTTAGCTGGGTGTTTCAGAAGAGCAATAGCCTTTGTGTGTATATGTGTGTGTGTGTATGATGTTACTCTCATTATTTTATAACTCTTACCATAGTTTCCTATATGTTCTCTGATAAAATACTGAAATGTAATAGGCCCGATCTCTCTCCTGACATCTAGAAAAGTATCTACTTATAGCCACACATTATCGACTTTCATCTTTGTGGGAAGATTTTAAATTGCTTCAGTATCTTGAACAGTTACATAACTTTTTGGGTTCTTTCATTCTTTAGTCACATCTCATAAAGTATATATTTTAAAGAAAAATTTCTACATTATCTATGGTTTCAAAGTTGCTAGTATCTAGCTGTGTGTTGTCCTTAAATGTCCACTTACATTCACAGTACTCTTTTTCTCTTGTCTTGTTAAAGGTTTGTCTGGAGATTTTAACATATTTCTATGATTCACACAGATCAAGTAAAAAAAAATCAGCAAGGGTAAGAATAGGTATGAAAAACATAATTTACATGTTTAGCCAAATGGATGAGTTCTGGGTTAAAGAGTCAGAATATATTTTTCTTAGTATACATGGAACATTTACACAAGGGATAATATTAAGAAAAACTTAGTTTCAAAAATTAAGTATTATATAGTATTATGTTCATTAATATAATGCAATTAACTCTGAATTTAACAAAAAACTAAACAAGCTCTTATTTATCTAGAAATAGTAAAACACATTAACCCAAGATTAATCTACAAACCATTAACTGCCACATAATTTATGGGCTAAAGTTAGGGAAACTAAAAAACTCCCACAACTGTGTGGGAATGTAATGAAACCAATACATACTAAAGCTTAAGAGAATAAATATAGCTTAGTAAGTTAGAAAATGAATAAAAAAATAAGCTCATGGAAGACATGTAAGAGGAAATTAATGAAGAAACAATAATAAAGTAGAAAAAAATTATCAAAGCTGCACACATATACCAAGTACCTAAGATTTTGAGTTAAATGGGGCCTTGTACATGAGCTTAGCCTTATCTTTTGGTTATTCACAAAGGAGCAAAGGGTTTTCTCCCACAGAATGGTTCTAGACTTCATCTAAGCATCTATCTGGCAGTTTCGTCTTTTACATTTCTTTTAATTTTCACTTTTCAGAATTGATAAAGCACTGAATTGGGCAACAGGTAATGTTCTATAGTGACAGAACATTTTTTAAATGTTGAGTAGGTTTGGGTTTATTGTGAAGCAAATTTGTAAATTTTAAATACATTTCTATTAATTGTAGAATCAAACTAGTTCAAGGAACAAAACAAGTTGAAGCCAAAACATGGGAGAATAAACTATGTATTCATATCAAGTTTGGAAGACCAGAGTACTGTCATAGTTCAAAAATTTCTCCAGCTGGGGATTTAGCTCAATGGCACCATGCCTGCCTTGCAAGTGCAAGGTTGAGTTTGATCCCCAATACAAAAAAAAGAAAAAAAAATTCCATAGCTGCTCTGGCATAGTTTTAAAACTTCACAGTCATATATTTATTTTTGTGCCCAAAGAACTTTTAACATGATCACTTCTTTTATACACCAATTTCTTGCTAATGCTATTTGATTTTTCCCAGCCAGAACCTACCCTCAAGAGATGAAGGTGTAGAAGTGTAGATTTTGAGGGTTGGGAATTTAGCTCAGTGGTCAGTGGTTCCGGTGCCTGGCTTGCAAACAAAAGGTCCCAAGTTCGAGCCTCAGTAACAAAAAAAAGTATGTTTTGAATCACTGATGATATTCAAGAGTATCCTCAGGATTAAAGGGATTTGAAGGGAGTAAACAATCTTCAAACAACAACTGTATAGTGGATTAAGTATCACTTGGGATTGTATAATAAAATATTCCAATGTATTTGCATTTTTTAAAAAAGTCAGCATATGGGTAGTGTTGTATACCAGTAGTCGTTTTGATGAACAGAACAAATCCTCTTGCAAATTTTATTTATTCCCTTGGCTGGCATATGCTAAAAAGCACAGATAAATATGACAAATGTTTTAAAGAGCCTTTCCTGTTCACAGATTATGTCCATACTGGCACAGGATCATCACTTAGAGATATTTGAGGTAAAAGTCATGGATTATAGACTTATCATTTACCTTGTATCTTGCATTTTAGTTACTGACAGCTGGTTACTTGTATCATTTTTTAAACTAAAACTCAAATATTGTATTTTATGGGTGCTATAGATCTATTTTAGTGCGCTCAACAGTAATATACTGATGGTTGGGGAGACTAGCTACGTAGTTTTCAAAAGCAGCCCACTTCTTTACTACCTGCTGGAAGACTATCAACTAAGAAGCAAGTTAATGGGAGACTAAATTAGTGTTTATGAGAAAATGTGGTCTAGAGAGTAGAAATTCCTAAGTACAAAACAGTGGATTGAAAAGTGTAAGGTGGTGGTAGTGAACACTCTATGGATACTAATAACATCAAAATTTAAACTTTTTATATGACAAAAATAATTCTCAGCCCATGATTAATGTACAAACCATTAACCTGAGAGCATGGCCAATTATTAAAGACCATACTTGAATACTTCAGAGAGTGTCCCATTAACATCCACAAAGATTAAACTCATTTTTTGCTCTCGAAAATACCAGCCAATATCTCATTAGAATGCTCCTTCTGGACCCTAATCCACGTTCATTTAACAATCACTAGTCACCTGGGAAGATGCATGTGAGATGTTAAGAAAGCATATTATTTCCTGCTACTGCTCGGATTTGGTACAGACTTCATCGCAAGGATGATCCAAACAAGAGAAAAGCTGAAATGCTCTTAAACTAATACTTGTTTAAAGAATGAGATTTGGACTAATTAATAATAAAGATTCATGGGAAATATTGGAAAGATACCTTACAAAAGTGAAGGTGCCCTAGTTCATTTTGTGGATATGTAAGAACATGCTTGGCACCAAAGTGTGACTCTAATTTGATGTGCCATGGGTGACAAGCAGTACATGAGGGAGCAGCTGCATAAGTGTGTAAGTGATTAGTCTGTTCTCAGGATCACTTCTATTTTCTTCATTTACTATTATTTCCTTTTGAAGGGTGCCAATCTGGCACCGCCTTCTTCCAAACACTTTCTTCTGCCAGTTTACAGGGTAGTGTTTTGGAGAAAAACTGCCAATGCTTCCTTTTCCCTTCTCAGATTAAATACATTACATCTGCTTAACATATGCAGTCCCTGTTGGCCTAGGGTACCAGACAAAAGCTCTCTCAATGATTATTTCACCTCCTAAAAAATGTATTCAGTTGGGGGGAGGGATACAATAAAGGCACTGAATCCTTGCTTTCTGGGTTGCATCCTTGAACTCAAATACTGGGCTCCTCTACCACTAGTTATTACTTTCTTCTCCGCAAACTGAAGACAACAGTTAATCTTATAGAGTTGTGGTGAGTATGAAATGATGTCTACTTTCTATATTTAATGACATTAATAAAAAATCTCACTGATTTTCCTTTTATTTTCATGGAGTGGTCAAGTAATACTTGTCAAACTTATCTTAAAATTCATTTGGGAGACAACAGGTATAATAACGAAAATTTTGAAAACAGATGGAGAGACCTTCCTTACCCAGTCAAAACAACAATAGGTGTTACACTTAAGATATGTAAGTTAATGAGAAAATAAAGTTCATATTGAGAATGTAAGGGATATTTTAAATTAGTAGTGACAGGGTATGTTATTCAATAGGCTGGGTCAACTAAACATCCTTTTGAGGAAAAAAAAACAGCTAAAAGTTTGATCTTTTATTCAAGGACTTAGTAATTTCTCCTTTTATGAGCTTGGATACTCAAATTTCAAGGGCTTCTTCCATCTAAAATAATGAATTATTACAGTGAAAGGCTTTTCAGTTAACTATGGAGGTGACAGATAAAGCCATGGGAGCAGACAAAATCAGTAAAGGATACCAAGAGGTTTGTGGTTGGAATATTGGGGGTCCACACCTGTATTTAGAAGGCAGATGAGGAAATGAGACCAATGGTGGATAGCAAAAAGGCAATGTCAATGACCAATTTTTATTTATTGTTAAATTATGGAACCCAAAAGGGAGGCAAGGTATTAAGTGAGGTTAGAAGAAAGCCAAATGAAGAGAGATTAAGATAACTGAGGGCTAGAAAGAGCCTGATGAGTTTGACAAATGGGAGGACATCAGTTTCCTGAAGAAAGAATTTTCCCAGTAGTAAGATTACATCAGATTCAGTTCAGTGACAGCAGGCACAAACTTAACAAAGAAGCAATGCCATACAATAAAAGAGACAGAACTCCAGCTTGAAGTGGAAATATGAGTAAAAATTTCCACAATCAACTAACCTAATTTCGAAACTGCTACCAAGCTGTTAGAACAATCTACTTTATACCAGACGCTTAGCTAGATGTCACCGATTTTCACAGGAAAGCTGCAAGGTCTTGTTTTCTTCATTTCACAGATGAAGATTTGTAAGCCAATATTATGACACAGCCTAAAACTACAAGTAGTTTGAATGTAACTTAATTGGTCAAAGGCAGTTTTATAATGAAGCTATCACCTACCTTATCACTGTTCTGAAGATTAAATATTAGCGTACAGTAGATGTATACATGGACACACATAGCCTAGCACTTAGTAGGAACTTAAAATCTCTCTAGGATGGAAAACAAACAACCCCTAAAGTACAGTAATGGTGGCATAACTGAGTTTCATTCGGGCTTGCTTTTAAATGTATACAGATTTACTCTTTTCTTTACTCATCTTTTCTTCTTTTGTAGGTATTAGATGTAAGCAGAGAGGGCAAAGAAGAAGTATTCTATGGACCTACGCTCCCTTTTGCTTCCAATGGAATTGCAGCATGCTTCCTTCCAGCCCCTTATTTCACATGCCCTAACCTTCAAACTCTTCAAGTGCCTCATCACAGGATTGGCACCATCTGAAAAGCCACTGCTCTGTTAATAACCCTCATGACCAGAGGGAAAAACAAAGACCCGACTTTTGGATTCTGGGCATGAACAGCCTCTGTGCTCAATGCTTCCTTGTCTTGTTTTATAGGTCTTATATTCAGATAAATATTAGCAAAAAAATTGAACAATTTTCTAAAATAATTATTGAAAACTCTTGTCACTCTTCTCAGTGTATGTCAACATACAATATGTATGACTTTTACTGTGGTGTAGCTTAGTACCAACTTAATGGTACATTACTGTACCACGAGTGTTTAAAACATTCTTTGTATACTCTTTCTAATTAGTGCTATCTAGGACAACCTGACATTGTTCATAAAACAATTTATTTCACTAAATGGCATCAATGATCTTAAAATCTTCATATGTATTCCCTTTCCTAATTAAACATGGGTTTGTAATTTTTCTTTTTAAATTTTAACATTATCCAGCCTTGCTCAGCAGAGATTCAGAATTATGACAACGTAAATTTTTAAGTGCCATATTTTTTTCAAGGTGAGAGGAATAACAGGAGTACACTGGAACAACAGTTGGAATACCCGTATTTTTGCTTTGGTTACTCTAACCTTCAGCCAGACTTTTACTTCATAGTGCTTCAGTTTTCCCATCTTTTAAGGGGGATAATTATTGATTTCCATATTAATTCAAAAGAATGGTGTGAGGATTAGGTAAATGTGCTAACTTTGCTTACTTAAAAAGTTATTAAATTATGAGGTATTTTACTCTCTTGAGAACCCTATAATTGAACTAGGAGATTATTTTTAAGAGTAGAAATTATTAGTTGGAAAACATGCTGTGGGATTTTGAAAAGCATGTGAAAAAGCCACATCTTACCTAAGCAGGAAAAGGGCATTTAGCAACATCACAGACACCTAAATTCGTATAAATCCTTGGTCAAATAAAAATAATTCTCTTAAATATCTCATTTTAAGTCACTGAGTGAAAAATAACATTTTAAAACTTTAGAAAGTTGTACTAATTATGGTAACAAAAAGTGCTTAGACATAAATTTGAACGTAGAATTGGCAGTTCTAATAAAAGTTTTCCACTTTGTTTTAAAGGTTATGTCAATCTTGAGTGCTTGTGGGGTTCTTCATTACCACAATACATATTTTATTACTGGCACTTTTAATAATACATAAGAATTCTTTTTTAGGGTTGGTTTTGGGGTTTGCTTTATCTAAAACAATAAATAAAACAACTTCGTAAGCACATTTGAACATACATTCAGTAAGCATGATATAGGTTTCTTTTTTCCAATCTCACCAGGACCTAAGGTCATCTTTATTAAAAGGAAGACTACTTTTGCCTTTTCCTCAGCAGTTTACTCATTCAGGAATCCCTCCCTAATAGGAAATATCATTTTATGCATGTAACCATTTTTAGTAATCAAAGGTGAATGAAAATAAAATCTTTTTGTCTTAAATTTACTTTAAAATATAAATTACTAGAATTTAAATATAAATTATTAGAATTTACTTTAAAATATAATTGACTTATTCAGATTAAAGAGGAAGAGGTACTAAAGGTAAGGAAAGAAAGATTTAAAAAAGAACAAATGTAGACAAAAACCTTAGGAGCTGAACAGTGAAAATGGTATTGGTAACTGATATTTAGAATCATAACTGCTTCTTTAAAAGGTACATAAGCCATCTGAATTTTAAAATGTCTTAGCAAGTCAGGGAAATGGACTCAAGCTTCTTTCTTGCCATTTTATCTTATAAAAACCATTAAAGTCTATTTGTATTCACAGACCTACATCCAATGAATGAAAGGAAAACAGTCTAAAAATAAGCTTGCCTGATTGTTAATGGAAAGGTAGACCGAGACTATCCTTGATTATTTCTGGGTAGATTTCTGACTATTCATATAAAACAAATCAGCATATATTATCAAATCCCCCTCTGGTGATCTTTATAATGTATTATTCACTTCTATTACAGAATTGAGCTCACAATTTTATGAAGTTTTGCATAGGGTTCAAACACATTCTTTATAGTTATAACAAAAGAGTAGCATCAAAAGTACGATGTTCCTCTCCTAAAGAGAACAAAACTCAGATGACTTATAACTAGAACTTTTCCTCAAATTTATCAGAGAAAAAATTTTATAGACTTTATTTGTTCATATAAGTGAAATACCATTGAAACTATTGCAAACATATATTTCTGTTTAAGTGAAATACCCACTTCATTGTAATTTCTATAGAAAACCTTAAGGATTCCAACTATTTAATTATTACTTCAAGATTTTACTTAAAAAAAAGAAAACAAAAAGTAGTTCCACATGGACCTTAGTAATCTTGCTAAGGGAGGAAAACCCAATTAAGATGTAACTCTCCACACAGTATATGTGCAAAATGCAATAAAATTCCTTACAAATTTAAAAAATGCCATTTAGATTATCATCAGGGTACTTTTCATACTTTTTTCTCCATGTTTTCCTCATATGTCAAGTATACATATATTGTATCCACATCAGCTACAGCAAAGGTGAAGCATTCTATCGTTTTACTACAAATTATAAGAGCATCAAATTATTCTTCCAGGTAACATGGCTTTTTTTTTTTTTCAGTAGTAAACCTTTTTTTTTTTTGGTACCGGGGATCGAACTCAGGTCTTTGCGCTTGCACAGCAGGTGACGAAACCACTGAGATAAATCCCCAGCCCAACAGTTAACCTTTTACAAAAAAGTTAAGTAATCATGGGCACAATGTAATGGTCTAAAATATATACATCTTTCAATATATATATGTATATACGTATACCTTTATTCTGTGTCAAATAACTTATAAATGCTACATATAAAATAAGAATGCCCAGAATATTTCTAGAAGCACAATTCACAAATGCAATAAATTGGATATATATTTTTTTTTTGGTACAGGGGACTGAACTCAAGGCAGGTGCACTTGCAAGGCAGGTGTGGTGCCACTGAGCTAAATCCCTGGCCCCACTGGATACTTTTAAGTACATCTAAAGTTCTAATAAATAGAAAATGGCCAATTACAATCATTTGGTAATGCTTTTGGTAAACATATCATATAGGTTATCACAAGGTAAAAATACAACTATCTAACTATGTGAAAGAATATGCTATTTTGGTAGCTCCCTAAATTTAACCAAATAAAGTATGTTATTTATACAGTCACGTGACAAGGCAATATTTTTAACTATAGAAATCATAGGCAGAAAATGTTTTTGGCACATGTAGATTTATGTAAAAAAATAATCTACCAACCAAACAGCAGTGGCTTAGTGCAGACAATTCAACTTTTGGTGAGGTATCTAGGGTATTTACCTTTTATCTTTGAAATACAAGTACTTATAGCATGTAGGCTTTAGGGAGGGTAGATTTCCTAAAGGCCTTTCCAAAATGCAGAAACTCAGAATTTTATAAAATACATAATTGTTAACTGTTAAATGTTCTGTGAGAGTACATACCAACAGGCCCATGTGATTCTTGTCAGGCAAACATCACAGAATATACTTATACAAACCTAGAGGGTGGGTATAAGTCTCTCATTCAGTGTGGCCTCTTGATGTTGAAGAACTATGATAAACATTAGATGTATGAGGCTGCTGCCAGAGTAACAAAACATACTGTTTTATAGTAAACTTCTTTTATAAGTAGGAGCATTTTTAAACGATAAAAAGTGTAGTAAATACAAACATCAGTAATATAGTTATTAAGCATTATACATTATACATAATTGTATATGCTATACTTTTATGACTGGTGGAATAGGTTTCTTTACACTACCATCCCTGCACACTTGAGTAATGTGCTGGCTATGACAATACAAGAGCTATGTCTCTAGGCAACAGCAACTTTTTAATTCTATTATAACCTTATGAGATCACCTTGGTACATGTGGTCTATCACTGACCGAAATGTCATTATGCAGCATATGACTATATGGTTAAGAAGAGAAAATATAGTAGGGATAAAGACATAAGAGTGTTAAACTACAAAATTCTTCTAATGCACATGAACTCAATACTGAACGATTTTTGCATAGACTGTATTTTTCCTCCCCCATGGAAACTTTCTAATTGTTAAATTGAAATTTAAATCATTAGCAGATCTTAATGTCTAATAAAGTGTTTTTCATCATTTTGCTGTGCTTCCACCATCTTTTATACTCAACTTGTTATTTTATACATTCTATTTGATTGGAATGCTCACATGTACAGAATGTATATTTTTCTCCTACTTATTTTTAAGTTTCTATATAAATATGTATTTAACTTTAATTTTTGTGTAGAGATGGTATTCCAATCTGACAAAGTGAATGAGGCTGAATATAGAATGAATGTGGCATTTAGAGAAAGCAGCTGAGTCTCCTTGTTTGGAAAGAGTTAAGTTTGAGTAAGTCTGGCCACATTGCAGACGGTCTCCAGACTGAAGGATGTGAACATCTGCCTATAAATAGATACTGGAGGTCCTTCAGAAAATAAGAAGAAAGAGTATTTTAGGATCACTAACTTTCAAACTTTGTGTAAGGTAAACTGTAGGAAGGGTGCCAGAAGTAAAGAGAAATTGTAGTGCCTGATAGGAAAAAAAAAAAAAAAAATCTCTCCATCCCCTTCCCCTCTGAGAAAATTTATCTCCCTACTTCCTATTATATCTTATTTTGCTCTTTATTTTTACTTTGGGTTTGTCATATAAGAGAAACGATGTGATATTTAAGCTTGTGTGTCCGATTTATTTCAGTTAACATTATGGTCTCAAGGTGTTTCCATTTTATGGCAGAGCAGTACTCCATAGGGAGGGGAGGAATAAGGGATGCTGAAAAAAAAATGAACTGGGATGTGTTATGTACATGTAGCACTCCATACATGGAATGTAAACATTATGTACTGGAAACATACCCACCCCCACCCCCCAAAAGAAAGAGGGTAAATAGGAAGGGGAAGGAGGAAAGGGGCTAAAAAAGGGAAGATGTGTTATGTACATTTATCCAGTTACCACAAGAAATATAAACATATACTATACACCTGTACCAATAAACTTAAACAATTTGGATGCAAGGGAATACAGAAGAAAGAAAGAAGAGGGAAGGAGAGAAGAGGAAGGGGATGAGAGGGGGGTGGGAAAAGGGAAGGAGAGGGAGCAGGGGGGAAGGAGAGAGAGGATGGGGTGAACACCTGCGCTGGTGATGGATGAACTGAAAGTGAGGAAGAATGAAGGATCTGGATGACTCTAAAGTTCCAAGGGTAAGTAATGGAAAAACTGAGTATTCCCTGGCTAGAGAAGGAAAGCATGGGCTAGTCTGGAATAGAGAGTGACACAGACATGCTGGACATGCTGCCTTGAGATCTGAGGAGAATCCAACTAGAGAGGTTCAGAGAGAAACTAGTGCTGGAAATAGATCTGAGTGACAAAATCATGAGCCAGTGTCAATGGCTCAATACTAAAGGCATATTGAGACAGAGCAGTTGGAGGGCCAGATCTTACCACCGGGGACAAGAAAGAAGACAATGAGGTTGCTCTCAACACACAGGGTAAGTAGAAAGGGGCAGGATCATTGAGGAAGGGATAGGAAGATAAGGGAAAAACGCAAATGGTACAGAGATGCCAAAAAGCTTAAGAAACGAGACCACTGTCTCAGATTTGACCAAAAGAGAGTGGGTTACATTACAATAGGGGAAGAAGTAGCCTCAGAAATCACAGGGTATTTGGGGGGAAATGACTATCAAGGAAGAGTATATAAGGTAAAGTCTGGGAATGGAAGAAGACAAGATTACAGTAATAAAATTAGCAAAGAATTTCCCAGGAAAGGAATTGAGCCGTAAGTTTTCTTCAGTTAAGAAAAGAGCTTTAAAAAAATTTTACTTATACATAACTATAAAAAAATGTATTATAACAAACTTTTTGTTGTTTTGAGTTTTATGTACAAGCTTTAATTATTCTTAGTATCTACAGATACATGCCCTAATACATGATTTAGTAGCAGTTTTTCCTATCTCTTAAATTTCATATTCTGAGGAGCAAGGAACAAAATTCTAAAACACATCTTTGATCATTTCCCTTGGAGGACAACACACACACCTCTTTAAAGGCACTGCTTTAAAGAGAGTAAACTTCTTTAACTGATGAAATATGCAAAGCATACATTATTAGTTCCATAAGTCACTATTATAATAAAATGAAATTTCATTGCTAGAAAGTCTTTTAAGTAGTCTTAAGCTTTTATTCTATTTGTGGAAGTAATGACAACTGATTTTAGGGGAAAACAAGACCATTTGTATGCTATGAATATAACAGGTATACTTTTGGATTCTAAAGACCTCAATTAGGAGACAACTGTAACTAGAAACACTGATTGCTGTTTATTTATTTATTTATATTTTGTGGTTGTTTGACATTCTAGGGATCAAACGCAGGGACCTGCACATATTAGGCAAGTACTCTACCACTCCGCTATACTCTCAGCCTTTATTTCACTTTTAAAAGTAATTTTTGAGCTAAATCAGGTTGAAATGCTTTTCCTTTGTGATGCTTGCTGGAGATTGAACCTTGGGCCTTGACATGCCAGACAAATGCTTCACCACTGTGCTACCTGTCCAGCCCTGAAATCTTTCCTTGAAGGAATGGTAGAACTATGATAAAGATTACAATCCCAAGAAGGGAACAAATCATTTCAAAGTTAAAACATGATGTGTCAGAAAACATTAAAAAATCTGGGATCATCCTTCTAGGATGTATCATTAAAGAAAAAGAAAATTTGAGAGGTGTTCTTTACTTTTATCTCATATGAATAATTTGGTAGTCATGTCTGGATACCTCAAACAGAATACAGACCAACATTTTCACATACATTATCCATTGATTCATTGTGAAATTTTAAAAAATGATTATTTTTTTTCTCCATTAAGAAAATAGGCTTATGAAGGGTAAGCAACTTGATCAAGATCACAAAGCAGGGCTGGGCTTGAGAGCAATGTGGGTTCCAAACTCCAGAACTGAAGCTCCTTCTACCAAAAAACGGTCACCACAAAAAGGGGTCAAGGTTAAATGGAAAAATGGAGAATCCAGATAAGCTGAGAAGAACACGTGCTAATAGTTACAGGTTCTCTGTAAACATATAAGATGCCGAGTTATAAGAGCAAGGAAATAGATCTGCTGACCTCGCAGGCTTCTGTTACTAGTAATCTTAAGAAGTTTCCAGAATATTATTATTTATTCTCTTGAAGGCTCTGCAGTTCTTCCTCCCAATACATTTTTTGACGACAACTCCTAAAGATGAGAAAAAATCTGGCGATTCTTGGAAATTAAACATAAACACTACTGGTATAAGTTTAAAACTTTTTAAAAGATATTATCTGTATAATCCTTTAGTGAGGTTCTGATTGCTAAGAGTTAAGTAAGCATTGTAACAGTTTGGTTCAATAACTTCCCTCACACATTAACAAAAGAAAACAAATGCAGTCCCAGCTTCTGACATCCCTCTGCCCTCCCCAAAATAAAACCCCCCCAGAAAAGTGCAGTGAAGTATTTTGAAAAAGTACTATTGTAAAACAAAAACTTTAAAAACAAACTAACAAACCAATCACAAGGCAGGAGAACAAGAGTCACATTAGAATACAAAGTCCATGGATGGACCAACAGAAATCTGCTTAATACCCATAAGGAGAATTCACTTATAGTTAGAAAAAGCTTCTGTAACTAAAATCTTTTCAAATTAGATTGTAATTTTGTAAAATTCTGAGGATCCTATTACATCGTTACTAATTAACTTTTATTTCCTTATTTGTATACTTTATACTTACAGGTATATAAGGAAAAGATCCTAGACATTATTTTGACAGAAAATAATACAATTAATTAAAGTAGATGTTGGAGTGGTACAAAGTGACTGTAGTCTGTGATAATCAATAGACAGGATAAATTATAAAATTATGTACTGTCATTTTCCAGTCTCTGTATCTCATGTTGTCCCACCTGTCCTAGGTGAGATAAAAGTTTTCTATAGGTTTCCCTGTTTAAGAAAAAAGAAAAGAATGCAAATTTAGCACAACATTTAAAAAAACAATGCTTTACATATATTGTGAGTAAATCTAGGAATTAGTTTATAGTTTTTAATACAATATACATCTATATATATACACTAAAGTGAGTTAAAATTTTTTAATCATTTGAAATAATGGTCATAGGTTATGAAATATGTTCACGGCATACTGCTTAAGGACAATGATAGTATGATTACAATGAGAAGGCTTGAGTCACAAATAATATGAAAAGTTTTATAACCATAAAACAGACCTATAAAACAACGTTAATATGTACCCTATTTTCTTCACTATCTTCACAGAAATAACAAAGTTTGAAAATAAAATATTATTTCTCCTATTATATTCTCTAGTATTTTCCTGTATTTCGGATCCATTTATTATGTCCTGTAGTTATTTCATTAGTCTAAATAACCACTGTTGACGAATGTTAAGCCAGCCCTTTCTTGTGGCCACACAGAGCAAGACGACAGCAAGATATCTATCCCCAAAATATAATGAAGTTAGGATGGTTCACACAGTCTCTTTAGTCTTTTCATTTGTATTTGAAAACTGTCTCGAAGTTAAGGTGTTAGAGAGTTCTTCGCATGAGGTTGTTTTCTGACATGACAGCAAACATTCCTTCAAAGCTGATTTGAAGTGTTGTCATCTTTTCTCTTTAGCAAAGTGCAAGAGGCAGCCAAGTTATTGTGTAAGAGAAGAAGAGAGATACTCTACCCTGGCATAGAAAAGTTATATCAGGGTGGTCTCTGGTCTTTCCATTTTTAACATTTTCATTTACAGTACTGAAAAGATGGATTTTATTAGTTCATTAAAGCTCTAATCAATATAGTCATATCTCTAAGCAAAATCACAAATATGGTATTATACAGTCAAAATTTTCCAACTAAAATATATTTAAAATATATTAATAATATATAATATGTAAAAATTAATAAATATATGCTTTTAGATTGTATATCTGTACAGACACACACATATATATGTGATTAAAATATTTGATATGTTAATAAATTTTATTACATAAGAATCCTAGTGTGAGTACTGATGCCTGCAAAATAATCGCTTTAGCAACTACAGACTATTAATATTGCATTTCTGGAAA